CAACAATTATAAAATTATTCAAAGTACTTCTGGTAAGCTGATATTGGCTTCTCATTTAGATAATTAAGAGCCTTTTGGATAGTAGAAATATCAAAACAAGTACCTTTTAACTTCAATTAGGGAAATATAACCCAAATCAGGCAAGTACTACATTGCCTTCAGACACCAAAAATTTGACTATTTGTTTCAGTCTGTGCCAGAGAAATGATTTTAAAAAGTTTTATGCAGAAAAGGACTTTAAAATAAAGGTCAATTACGCTGCATGTCTTTGTTCAGAAGGCATGTGAAAAAGCACAAATTATGAAGACAATATTTTAATTTTTCTAGAATGTTTGTTCTATTCTATTCTATAATTTTTAATTGCATATTTCTCCTGGGTTTTAACAAAAATGAATACAAGCCCACAATCATTGCATAATACCCAAATAGTAATTGCTGTTAACAGTCTGAACTTCTGGAATGAATTCTTCATAAATTAGGTAGGCTATAGTTTTATTAATTTATATAAATTAGTTATATAAATTAGGTTGCTCTTCTGCAGATATAATAGATGCAGATGTTTAACCTATCCGATGTTGAGTATTTTCTCTGTCACATATCACTCCATGTTGAATTTTTTTTTGATGTTAAGCCTAACGTGATCACACATTCTAGAAAAATAATAATTGTGGCTATTGTATCATTTCAAATTACTTTATATTTTTCATATACATAAAATAGACATATTAGGATATGTAAAAACAAAAAATTTTATTTCAGAAGTTAGTTTTCGTGTGATAAATCTCAAAGCAAGGAACAACGCATAGTGGAACAGAACATTGTACACACTGATAATGTGATTCTACTCGCTTTTTGTTTGCTGAACAGACTTTATACACTCTGGTTGGTGGTTTTTTTTTTCTATTGCTGGTATAAAACTAGGAAAATGCTGTTCAGATAAATGTAACAGATTTTCATGTGACAGTTGACCACGGCAGACCATGTGTCTGCTTGTGTGAAACTTATCTATCACTTCTCTAATAACAGACATACAAAAATCAAGAAATGATACCTGTTTTTTTTTTTTTTTTTTTGTATGTTGGCGATACAAAACACAAGCATTAAATAATGCAATATCCAGCATATGAAAAAACACTTTTTTATACCATTTCACTGTTTTTCAAATGCATGGATAATTGTGTATCATTCTATCACACAGATCAATTCCACCAATATTATGATTATAATCTAAAATATAATTAGGCTTCATTATTACATCTCCTGATCTGTTACGTTTACCAGAATCAGAGAATTCATTGTTACTCATCATACTTAGAATTGTCATATCCCTTTTATCTTTCCAACAAAACACAGACAATTCATCTTTCTGACAGGTTATAAATTCCTCTTCCTTCAATTTACGGTCAGAAAAATTGTGTGGCATTCCAATCCGATTTTTGTTCACAGTTCCAGATACATGTTTGTTTATCCAGAAGCGCTTTTGCTAATGACAGTGAGGTGAAAAACCTGGTGATTCTTACTGAGCTATGGTTCTAATAAGGTAAGCACAACTTTCTCACCTTCAAAATTTCCATATTCTGTCATAGCTCCCGTGTAAACTATAAAGTCCCAAACATATCCTGTTCGTAACGCGCAAGTTTCGAAGCTTTTTATGCCAAAACGAGCATGCATGCTCAGTATATACTGTCTAAATCCCAGTCTGCCTTTCCATAACATAAGACTTTCGTCTACACAGACATTTTCATCTGGGATGCAAATGTCTGTGTAGACAAAATTGTCTGTAAAATGCAAACATGACAATAAAAGCATAAAGCAGTTGCTCGACATCATACTCGAAAAAAATGGTGTAGAAAAAAACATCTTTAATTGTAAAGTACATACTTAGGTGCAGTTTTCTAATGATACTTGTGACCATAATAAGTCCTATAAATTCTCTAATTTCTGGATTTGTTGTCAGTTTCCAGTTTTTATATGACTATTTTTCCGTAAATCCCCACAGTTCATCAAGCTACCATCATACCTGTTTGTTTCTTCAACGATCTTGTCCACAAGATCATCATCGAAAAATATGCTAAAACAGTCAAATGGTGTAGCATCACTCCATAAATTACATTGGATTCCTGCTGGTCCTGTGAAACTGTTTACTTGGGGGCTTCTGAAGTTCATATGGACCCATCCATCGTTACTACTAAATCGCAGATGTTTTGCACTATTATTTTCTTGAGTACAACCGCATGATCGGCCTCTGTAGCCATTTGTAGTTGTTATTTCGTGATCAATATCACCACTATCATCACTTACATTTTCATTTTGTATATACTTGTCATTGCCACCTGAAAATTCAGATTCATTGGAACCTAAATTAAATAAATATTTGATCAATTCTGACTTATTTAAAGTGCTATTTCTCCCAGCTGTTACCATGTCTAAACAGAGACAAACTAACAGCCTATTTTCCTTTGTGATTTCTTGTAAACAACTATTCCTAGAATTGTAATATCCTGTTATGCAAAAACTAGATAACATAATGATTCTTTTGATATGAATCACTAATTTCGGAATTCCATATGAGTAGCAACATCTGATGTTTAAAAAACAATCCGATGCAGAAACGAATATATTCGTAGTCAACAGGTCAGGTCAAAAGGAGGTCAACACGGAACAGGTTAAGTTAATAGCTCATACCGAGAGTACCAAATCTCACCATCTGTCACAATGGTTTTCAAGATATTTGAATTGTTGTCAACATCTCTAATTATGTCCATCACATGATCCACTCTGAATGCACAGACCACTTCTTGCACTTTCTCTACTTGATCAGCTGCATAGCTTGTGCACAAACATGACGCCTTTCAATGCACCATGTTCACTTTGACATCTTGAAATAGAGCAAACCACAAAAAAACACTAGCATGATCAAAACAACGACATAAATAAACTTGTTGTATCACTAGCTACATCTCAATTACTGTTTTGCCAAATTTACAGTTATACTGCCCACCAGTGGCCGAGCGGTTCTGTCCCTGAACACTGGAAGTACAGTCATGGGTTCACACCTTGCAGGTTTTCTCCATGTCTGTAACACCTGAATAGGGGCCAGTTATCCTTAAAAGGCTTCCTGGAAGGCATTTCTCTCCTGCATAACATCACATATCCAGAGAAGGCAACAAGGAACAACTCTAATACTAACTTCATGGACATCACATGGTGTTCATACTAATCCATACTAACCTGTGCTGGGAGTTGAGAGAGAGACAGTTATATTTGCACTTTTTTCAAGTGTCATTTTTCAACCAATACCAGAAAAGTGCAGTTGCTTTTGCCAAACTTACTACTGACTGAATCAATGGATGCAACTGAAACTTTTAACAATGTTGACACCAACTGCTTCATAAATATTGTATTTGTCAACAGATGGTAAACACAAAAAATTTTAAAAATTCAGTCACAATGAAATTTGGACAGACTGTATAAATATATATATATACAGTGAAATCTGCTTATTGTAATCACTTTGGGACCTATCTATACTGATAACCAAGCAGGCTAAGTAAATAAGACTACAATTAATAAAAACTCTGGTTTCATGATAATGAAAAAAGGACATGTTAAAACAATTAAAAATTGTGTAACTTGAAGTGTTTTTACTTATAATAATTATTATATTCCAACATACATATATAAACATCTCAAAACTCAATATATATTAGCAATAAGCCAGAAACTACTAAATTACATTGGGCTACCTTACCATAATTAATTTTAATTAATTTCTGAAGAATTTGTCACTAGAGAAAGGCATAAGGTGCCATCTTCTATCAAATTTAATAATTATAATTAAATTAAATAATTTAGAATATTCTGCAAGAAAAGAATCGGTCCAGAGCAAAACTCAAACATACAACAACCTCTGCTTACAATGTGGATGTGTTGCCAGTAACACTACCTGAGCATCCAAACCAATCTCCTCTTCCAGACGGCAAGTGGCAGTTGCAGGTTCGAGTCCTGCTCCGGGCCAATTCTTTTCTTCCAGAATATTCTAAATTATTTAATTTAATTATAATTATTAAATTTGATAAAATACAACATCTTATGCCTTCCTCTAGTGACAAATTATTTAAAAATTAATTAAAATTTATTGCAGTAGAGTAGCCAAACGTAATCTGGTAGTTGTTGGCTTATTATTATATTCCAGTATTGTCTGTCTGCCAATTTTTGAATATCTTCTTTAACAACAGTAAGCATGTAACTAAAATAAGAGATGCCAGTAATTAAAACTATTGTACTATGAGCAAATAACAATAAAAATGATTAAAGCTTATTACAGGATGACACTGATAGTGCAAAAAGACTGCTTTAAAATGCCTACTTACTTTTAAGATAATGACAACCAAAAAATCTAATTACAATAAGCAAAGTTTAATAAGTATATTTCAACTTACATGTTTTAGGATTTAAGTCCAATAGCATTAAATAATTAATAATATCATTATTACAATAAGATGATTCTACTGTACTTGAAGATAACACATACTGCAATACATTTGTTAATTGCTAGTAACTATTACTTATTTGATTTCAGAGATATTAGTTTAAGATATTGAATATATTATTTATCCAATATAATAATACTCTTGTTTATCAATTCCTCTGGAAGTCTGAGTTATCAAAGGAATATCAATTATGCATAAAACATCTAAATTATTTTTATTACAATTTTGATTAATTTCTAAAAACTATACAAAATATTTATCTTGTAAATTACACAAAATGACAGTCTTATAGTTTTGTATACTTTATAAAATTATAAAATAATGTAATTTTATATGTATATTTCTATAAAGGTCTGCATCTTTTTACATTTTAATCACTTCAATAAAATATAATTCAATCTTTAAAAAAGACTATCATATATGTATAATTTTCTGATATATGTCATTACTTAATTAATCTATAATTACAAAAAAAAATTTAGATTAAACTGAATTATGAAAATTTACATTTTTTCTTTTCTATTCTTTTATCTTTTAACTTCTTCTTTCCTCCTAACATAAGTTTCTGATGTTCATAAAATCTATCATGATTTGACAGTAAGCCTGCACTATAATATTGATAATGTTTTAACTGTAAAAAATAACAAAAATATTAGAATCATATTTTTCATGTTCAAAATAAATTCCAAAAATTTCATTACCTCAGTATCAGCATGATATTCTTCTTGAGCAGCTTTAATTAATTTATGATATTTTAACATATCTTGAAGTCCATGCTCACTAACTGGATCACTATCTTCTCCAGAATCAGAAGATTCACTAATTAATACACCCTTTAACAAAATAATTTTTAAAATAATATTTAATATAGAAGTATTATTTATAAGATAAAACTGCTATTTCATTTATTAATCAAATAGACTATTTAATGAATTATTATGCATGAAATTTTAAAAATTGTATCAAAAAATAATGAAATTTGAAAATGTTATCACTGATTTATATTGAAGAAGGATGGTTGGCAACTGCAAGAGAATGTATATATTACATTACCAACCTTCTTTTATGTCAGAGAAACAAGAAGACAACTAAAAATCAGACTGAGAAAACACATTTGCAAATAAAATATAATTATACAAAGTCTGTTGTCATTGTTCACTATGTCAGTATCAGTTGTCAGATCTTATTAAAAGAAAATTATGTGAACAATTAAAAATTATATTACCAAATCAAATAATTGTGTAACAGTAATATTATACAATAATTTGACTTTTCTTACTTTAATGAAAGTATAGCAAAAAGTCACTCAGTATGGTTTTATACAGTCAATCTTATAACTTTTATACTTGATTTTATTCATTTTTAAAATATTTTAAATTTTTATCCCTTTTTATTTTCATTTTATCATTTATTTAGTTTCATTTATATAAGTATTTTTTAATTAAATGATTTATGCAGTAACTATTTTTTTATTGGTTTTAATCCTTTTTCTTCAAAGTTTTAAGATGTCTTTTGTTTTACAGTTTAACAATATTTTTACATCATTTTGTATCACTGATTTTATTCTTTTAATTAAAAAAAATATTTTTAATTTTGACAATACAGTAGAACCTCAAAAACTCAGCCTAATGTGGACTGAAGGGTGGCCGAGTTTGTGAAAATGTCGGGTTATCGGGAATGGGGTTAAAAAAAGAATAAGTATGAGTGTTTCCTCAGAAAATACTGTACTGTACTTGTATGTATTGTTTACTTGAGAATACAACAGAGAATAAACTGCCCAAATACCCTTAAACAAAGGAAAAGTACGTCCTTTATGAAGGCATAGAGCCTTTACTACATGAAAATGAAAATTAATGAATACACTGTGTACAGTAATTTACCTGATAAGACAGACCTCAGAAAAATACTTTATGAGAGCTTTTATACTTTTATAAAGCTGTCTGTCTATAATGAAAATTAATTAACTAAGGATTTTTTGCCCTGCCAGGGTGTGGCCGAGTTATCCGGAGTGCCGGGTTATCGAGAGCCAAGTTTTCGAGGTTCTACTGTACTTTACAAAGGTAAAAAATTATTTTAGTTATTTAACATTTACTCTATCATAATTTTAACCTTCTTTCTAATCTTAATTTGTATTTTTTAAAATTGTTTTAGATTACAGGGGGCATTCCCAACTCTTAGGGCTGCTTGTGAACTTTTCTACGCACTTCATTTGTGACAATAACTTTAAAATCAACTATTTGATTTAACCATCTTTTTGACTTGTTAAAGAAGATTAATAGTTAAAAAAATCAATAATAATAAGAAAAGACCAATACTATTGGCAATGCAACGTTCTCCAATTAAGTGGGGAAGACCGCCACTTAGCTGAGCCAAACCAGTGAATAAACGTAACGATAACTCTGCTACAAGTTCCCCACTAATTACAGACTTTAATTTACAATCACATAAAAATCTACAAGACACCTACATGGAGACTGGGAATACTAACAAGTCAAATCAACATAATATTGAAGATTCCTCAGGTGAGCCAATTGTATTTTGCACCTTACTACATAACTAGGATGATTTATTAGACACTTCATCTACTGTTTTATGGAATAAAATATCCAATCTTATAAAAACATCTAATGACAAACTATTTAATCAAATTGCTAGTATTAAGGAGGAATTGAATTTAATTCATGAAAATTTACACAAAACTAAAGAAAAACAAACAAAAATGGAGGAACAGATTACAAATCTACGATAACAAATTGATAGTATGCAGATTGAGAAGGACCTCACACAATTTATTCTCTAATTAATGATTACAATCGTAATAACATCATAATATATAACTATCCTAACTCGAGGACTGTTTCTAAAGAAGAAATTCATAATTTTATTATTTCTTTACTAAATATCCATAATATAGTTTGAGAAGATATTTTAGATGTGGTTCAATTAACAAAACTACCAAAAATAACCATAAGAATAACTTTTAACGATAATCAACTTCAAAATCAGATCTTTTCTGCCTTTATTTGGAAGAAATTGCAAAATCAGCTTGAAGATTGGAGAGATACTCAAATATCTCCAGATCTCACTAAAAACTCAAGAATTAGACGAAAAAATTTACTTTCAACATGACATGATATACGAAAACAAAATTCCTGAGTCAAATTACATAATGACATCTTAATAACAGATGACAAAATTACATATAATATTAATATGAAAAGTCTGGTATATGCAGATACCTTTTTACCTTTTTCCAACTTGATAAACTTGGGAAGCTGATATATTACAAATCAAAGTCATATACAAAGTTCACTTAATTTTGAGAGTAATCACTCCTTTGCTATAGTAAATTGAAATTGCAAAGGATTTAAATACAAAACTACATTTGTCAATTCTATGCATATTAAATATAATCCGGTTATTATTGCCATGACAGAAACTTGGATAACATCAGATAAGTTTTACACTACAAATTTCTCTAATAAATTTATAATAGAATCTGCAGTAGCAAGTAAATCAGTAGGTCCTGGACAACTGAGTGGTGGTCTATGTTTATTGAAAGGGAGCATTGTAAAATAATCCAAGTTAAAAAAATTATTAATTATATACTACTTCTCATCTCAATAACTAGAAATAAATTATCAAATAAGAATAATAAAACACTGATGATAATGTTAATGAAATCTTCAAAGTTATTAATATATGGCACTATATAACTTCATACATTATAATATTGGGTGACCTTAATTCCAGAATTGGTAAAGTAATGGACTCAAAATATAAGGGACCCAATCATTTAATTTATAATAGTCGGAAATCTAAGGATAAACAGGTTAACAATTTGGGGAAAAAATTATTAGACCTCATAACTGAATACAAACTTTTTATACTGAATGATTGCATTAAACCTGACTTTCCTGTGGAATATACATGCCTAACCCACTTTGGGAAATCAACAATCGACCTTACATTATGTTCTGATTTACTTCTGGACTGTTGCATGGAATTTACAACAACGTTAATGGATGCATCGGATCATTTTCCCACAATAACCAAATTTCGACTATCTTCAGCAAAGGAAACCAACAACCAATGCAATAATAGTCCAAAAATAAAATATAAAATTTCAAAATATCGGACAGAGATTGATAATTGTTTCATTGCCATTCCGGAAATAATGAGTACTAATAATGAAAAAATATACAATCTAATAACAAGCATATTAAATAATTACATATGTATAAATAAAAATAAAAGAAATATTCAAAATAAAGCTAAAGAAGGATGGTTTGACTCTGACTGTTAAAGAATGAGAATGATAAAACAAGCAGAATTTAAAAAATTCAGAGAAAATTCAACTAATTTTAACTTTAATAGCTATAAAAAAGCTAAACGAACCTATAATAATCTCCTTAAAACTAAAAAGTCAAATTATCTTCACAAAATTGAACTAAACCTAATTAAAAATAATAATGATGGCAAACTGTTCTGGAATACAATACGAAGATTTCAGCCTAAATCAAATTTAAATGGAAGTTCTGTCACAATAGATTTTAATATCTGGAAGCAGTTTTATCATAGATTTCCACAAATCCATACGAAATTATTGTTAAATACAAATATAGAAGTTTACAATAATATTCTAGATTCTGACTTTACTATTACTGAATTGGATGATGCCATTTTAAAAAATCAAAAAGTAAAATAACTCCAGGAAATGACAATATTCCTACCAATTTCTTAAAAATATTATTGCACAATTCTAGATTAAAAATATTAAATTTATTTAACAGTATGTACAAATCTGATTTCTACCCTGATTCCTGGAACTCAGCCATTCTTATGATGCTCTATAAAAAAAGCAATCATTCCTCTCCTAGTAACTATAGACCAATAGCATTGTTATCTACTGTAAGAAAATGTCTTACTTCACTTCTTGCAAACAAATTTAGGCTACAGACTAAAACTATGGAATTAGAAGCTGAATTTCAATACACATTTACTGTAAATAAAGGAACCAAATTTGCAATCTTTACCTTATTAATGATAGTTCAACTATATCTTTTAAAAAAACACAGGAAAATATACACTTCCTTCATTGATATTCAAAAAGCATTTGATTCAATATGCATTCCTCTGTTGGTTCACAATCATAAATCCTGTGGTGGAAGTACCCAATTTGCTTCAGCAATCTCAAAACTATACTCAAACTATAATATCAAGATAAATCAAGTAAAACAGCAAAGCCGTATTTGGGACAAGACTATGTCTCAGAGACTCACTACTAAGTGGAATCACTTTGACACTCAAGGCGGATCTTGTTCTCATTCTCCAATCTTTGGTATCACTGCTTTTGGGCACGATCATTCAAACTTCGCCGGCCATGACCATGAGGTTGTCCACGATGAAATTAACCTACCCAATTTGAAAATTTCTTTCCATTGCATGTCGGCCCAGGTTGAATTTTTGTCAATGTGTAACAAAAATTTCCCATTTTTGAAAAAAATAATCATGGCTATTGTATCGTCCAAAATTACTGTTTTATTTTGCACAAACAATACACAGTTTAACCCGATTATAACGTCATTGGATGTAATGACAACCCTAATATAATGTCAAATTTTTATCGGTCCCATGATTTTACTATACTAGTTAATGTTAAAAAAAAAAACACTTGTAATGACATAAAACCATTTTAACATCATATTTGAAGCACTCCCAAATTTATAAAATTAGATTACAAATTTTATTTAACACAGAAGAAACTATGTATTCAGTCCTAAGGTCAGAGTTCACTTTTTAGAATGACTCTGGGTGGTACTCTCCCCCACCTGACTTTGATGGGATGAGGTGCCTGTTTTGCCTGTTTTTAGAAGAGGGTCACCATTTTGTATTTTATTTTGTCTCAGTTCTCAGTCCCCTGACTACCTACAAGTCTGGATCTTTTAATGTGCAAATGATTTGAGCACCTAATACTCTGTGCCAAATATTAATTCTTGACATGTACTCCTTCATACCTCTATGCTGGTAATATAAAACAGCAGTACAATTTTATAAACAAGACATAGTCTTGTCAACAAGGCAATAATAGCTCTCAAACTTTATCTTTATCCCATGGAATTCTTCAAGGTGATCCTCTCTCTCCATATCTATTCAATTTTTACCTTATAGGTATTGATTGCCTCTTTACTGAATCAACTGATGGAATTGTAATAGGAAATAGTCTTACATTATATTCTTTTTGCTGATGATCTTGTGCTTCTGGCCCCAACAAAGATTTCATTACAAAGGAAAATTAATAAACTCAATAAATTTCTTCAATCATTATATTTAACAATAAATTTGACCAAAACAAAAGTTATAATATTCTGACTGTAAAATATCCGAAAATAACACTAAATTATATCATGAAAATACTCTTTTACAAACTGTAAATGAAATAGACTATTTGGGAGTCAGGTTTGATTGGAATTTATCCTTTAAAGCACATTTTAACAAAATAAAAATCAAAGCAAAGCAAGCCATAGATAATCTTCTATTTGAATGTTCCAAGTTGAAAACAACCAATTTGAAAATTCACATTAAATTATTTACCTCAACAATCGTTCCTATAATATATTAAGCAAGCCCAATATGGAGTTTAGACTATATATATATAAATTGGAATATCTTCACATCTATTATTTATGCAAATTATTCAAACTGAAAAGAACTATTCCAGGCTTTGCTCTGCAGCATGAAGTAAATTGGANGTCACTAGAGAAAGGCATAAGGTGCCATCTTCTATCAAATTTAATAATTATAATTAAATTAAATAATTTAGAATATTCTGCAAGAAAAGAATCGGTCCAGAGCAAAACTCAAACATACAACAACCTCTGCTTACAATGTGGATGTGTTGCCAGTAACACTACCTGAGCATCCAAACCAATCTCCTCTTCCAGACGGCAAGTGGCAGTTGCAGGTTCGAGTCCTGCTCCGGGCCAATTCTTTTCTTCCAGAATATTCTAAATTATTTAATTTAATTATAATTATTAAATTTGATAAAATACAACATCTTATGCCTTCCTCTAGTGACAAATTATTTAAAAATTAATTAAAATTTATTGCAGTAGAGTAGCCAAACGTAATCTGGTAGTTGTTGGCTTATTACTATATTCCAGTATTGTCTGTCTGCCAATTTTTGAATATCTTCTTTAACAACAGTAAGCATGTAACTAAAATAAGAGATGCCAGTAATTAAAACTATTGTACTATGAGCAAATAACAATAAAAATGATTAAAGCTTATTACAGGATGACACTGATAGTGCAAAAAGACTGCTTTAAAATGCCTACTTACTTTTAAGATAATGACAACCAAAAAATCTAATTACAATAAGCAAAGTTTAATAAGTATATTTCAACTTACATGTTTTAGGATTTAAGTCCAATAGCATTAAATAATTAATAATATCATTATTACAATAAGATGATTCTACTGTACTTGAAGATAACACATACTGCAATACATTTGTTAATTGCTAGTAACTATTACTTATTTGATTTCAGAGATATTAGTTTAAGATATTGAATATATTATTTATCCAATATAATAATACTCTTGTTTATCAATTCCTCTGGAAGTCTGAGTTATCAAAGGAATATCAATTATGCATAAAACATCTAAATTATTTTTATTACAATTTTGATTAATTTCTAAAAACTATACAAAATATTTATCTTGTAAATTACACAAAATGACAGTCTTATAGTTTTGTATACTTTATAAAATTATAAAATAATGTAATTTTATATGTATATTTCTATAAAGGTCTGCATCTTTTTACATTTTAATCACTTCAATAAAATATAATTCAATCTTTAAAAAAGACTATCATATATGTATAATTTTCTGATATATGTCATTACTTAATTAATCTATAATTACAAAAAAAAATTTAGATTAAACTGAATTATGAAAATTTACATTTTTTCTTTTCTATTCTTTTATCTTTTAACTTCTTCTTTCCTCCTAACATAAGTTTCTGATGTTCATAAAATCTATCATGATTTGACAGTAAGCCTGCACTATAATATTGATAATGTTTTAACTGTAAAAAATAACAAAAATATTAGAATCATATTTTTCATGTTCAAAATAAATTCCAAAAATTTCATTACCTCAGTATCAGCATGATATTCTTCTTGAGCAGCTTTAATTAATTTATGATATTTTAACATATCTTGAAGTCCATGCTCACTAACTGGATCACTATCTTCTCCAGAATCAGAAGATTCACTAATTAATACACCCTTTAACAAAATAATTTTTAAAATAATATTTAATATAGAAGTATTATTTATAAGATAAAACTGCTATTTCATTTATTAATCAAATAGACTATTTAATGAATTATTATGCATGAAATTTTAAAAATTGTATCAAAAAATAATGAAATTTGAAAATGTTATCACTGATTTATATTGAAGAAGGATGGTTGGCAACTGCAAGAGAATGTATATATTACATTACCAACCTTCTTTTATGTCAGAGAAACAAGAAGACAACTAAAAATCAGACTGAGAAAACACATTTGCAAATAAAATATAATTATACAAAGTCTGTTGTCATTGTTCACTATGTCAGTATCAGTTGTCAGATCTTATTAAAAGAAAATTATGTGAACAATTAAAAATTATATTACCAAATCAAATAATTGTGTAACAGTAATATTATACAATAATTTGACTTTTCTTACTTTAATGAAAGTATAGCAAAAAGTCACTCAGTATGGTTTTATACAGTCAATCTTATAACTTTTATACTTGATTTTATTCATTTTTAAAATATTTTAAATTTTTATCCCTTTTTATTTTCATTTTATCATTTATTTAGTTTCATTTATATAAGTATTTTTTAATTAAATGATTTATGCAGTAACTATTTTTTTATTGGTTTTAATCCTTTTTCTTCAAAGTTTTAAGATGTCTTTTGTTTTACAGTTTAACAATATTTTTACATCATTTTGTATCACTGATTTTATTCTTTTAATTAAAAAAAATATTTTTAATTTTGACAATACAGTAGAACCTCAAAAACTCAGCCTAATGTGGACTGAAGGGTGGCCGAGTTTGTGAAAATGTCGGGTTATCGGGAATGGGGTTAAAAAAAGAATAAGTATGAGTGTTTCCTCAGAAAATACTGTACTGTACTTGTATGTATTGTTTACTTGAGAATATAACAGAGAATAAACTGCCCAAATACCCTTAAACAAAGGAAAAGTACGTCCTTTATGAAGGCATAGAGCCTTTACTACATGAAAATGAAAATTAATGAATACACTGTGTACAGTAATTTACCTGATAAGACAGACCTCAGAAAAATACTTTATGAGAGCTTTTATACTTTTATAAAGCTGTCTATAATGAAAATTAATTAACTAAGGATTTTTTGCCCTGCCAGGGTGTGGCCGAGTTATCCGGAGTGCCGGGTTATCGAGAGCCAAGTTTTCGAGGTTCTACTGTACTTTACAAAGGTAAAAAATTATTTTAGTTATTTAACATTTACTCTATCATAATTTTAACCTTCTTTCTAATCTTAATTTGTATTTTTTAAAATTGTTTTAGATTACAGGGGGCATTCCCAACTCTTAGGGCTGCTTGTGAACTTTTCTACGCACTTCATTTGTGACAATAACTTTAAAATCAACTATTTGATTTAACCATCTTTTTGACTTGTTAAAGAAGATTAATAGTTAAAAAAATCAATAATAATAAGAAAAGACCAATACTATTGGCAATGCAACGTTCTCCAATTAAGTGGGGAAGACCGCCACTTAGCTGAGCCAAACCAGTGAATAAACGTAACGATAACTCTGCTACAAGTTCCCCACTAATTACAGACTTTAATTTACAATCACATAAAAATCTACAAGACACCTACATGGAGACTGGGAATACTAACAAGTCAAATCAACATAATATTGAAGATTCCTCAGGTGAGCCAATTGTATTTTGCACCTTACTACATAACTAGGATGATTTATTAGACACTTCATCTACTGTTTTATGGAATAAAATATCCAATCTTATAAAAACATCTAATGACAAACTATTTAATCAAATTGCTAGTATTAAGGAGGAATTGAATTTAATTCATGAAAATTTACACAAAACTAAAGAAAAACAAACAAAAATGGAGGAACAGATTACAAATCTACGATAACAAATTGATAGTATGCAGATTGAGAAGGACCTCACACAATTTATTCTCTAATTAATGATTACAATCGTAATAACATCATAATATATAACTATCCTAACTCGAGGACTGTTTCTAAAGAAGAAATTCATAATTTTATTATTTCTTTACTAAATATCCATAATATAGTTTGAGAAGATATTTTAGATGTGGTTCAATTAACAAAACTACCAAAAATAACCATAAGAATAACTTTTAACGATAATCAACTTCAAAATCAGATCTTTTCTGCCTTTATTTGGAAGAAATTGCAAAATCAGCTTGAAGATTGGAGAGATACTCAAATATCTCCAGATCTCACTAAAAACTCAAGAATTAGACGAAAAAATTTACTTTCAACATGACATGATATACGAAAACAAAATTCCTGAGTCAAATTACATAATGACATCTTAATAACAGATGACAAAATTACATATAATATTAATATGAAAAGTCTGGTATATGCAGATACCTTTTTACCTTTTTCCAACTTGATAAACTTGGGAAGCTGATATATTACAAATCAAAGTCATATACAAAGTTCACTTAATTTTGAGAGTAATCACTCCTTTGCTATAGTAAATTGAAATTGCAAAGGATTTAAATACAAAACTACATTTGTCAATTCTATGCATATTAAATATAATCCGGTTATTATTGCCATGACAGAAACTTGGATAACATCAGATAAGTTTTACACTACAAATTTCTCTAATAAATTTATAATAGAATCTGCAGTAGCAAGTAAATCAGTAGGTCCTGGACAACTGAGTGGTGGTCTATGTTTATTGAAAGGGAGCATTGTAAAATAATCCAAGTTAAAAAAATTATTAATTATATACTACTTCTCATCTCAATAACTAGAAATAAATTATCAAATAAGAATAATAAAACACTGATGATAATGTTAATGAAATCTTCAAAGTTATTAATATATGGCACTATATAACTTCATACATTATAATATTGGGTGACCTTAATTCCAGAATTGGTAAAGTAATGGACTCAAAATATAAGGGACCCAATCATTTAATTTATAATAGTCGGAAATCTAAGGATAAACAGGTTAACAATTTGGGGAAAAAATTATTAGACCTCATAACTGAATACAAACTTTTTATACTGAATGATTGCATTAAACCTGACTTTCCTGTGGAATATACATGCCTAACCCACTTTGGGAAATCAACAATCGACCTTACATTATGTTCTGATTTACTTCTGGACTGTTGCATGGAATTTACAACAACGTTAATGGATGCATCGGATCATTTTCCCACAATAACCAAATTTCGACTATCTTCAGCAAAGGAAACCAACAACCAATGCAATAATAGTCCAAAAATAAAATATAAAATTTCAAAATATCGGACAGAGATTGATAATTGTTTCATTGCCATTCCGGAAATAATGAGTACTAATAATGAAAAAATATACAATCTAATAACAAGCATATTAAATAATTACATATGTATAAATAAAAATAAAAGAAATATTCAAAATAAAGCTAAAGAAGGATGGTTTGACTCTGACTGTTAAAGAATGAGAATGATAAAACAAGCAGAATTTAAAAAATTCAGAGAAAATTCAACTAATTTTAACTTTAATAGCTATAAAAAAGCTAAACGAACCTATAATAATCTCCTTAAAACTAAAAAGTCAAATTATCTTCACAAAATTGAACTAAACCTAATTAAAAATAATAATGATGGCAAACTGTTCTGGAATACAATACGAAGATTTCAGCCTAAATCAAATTTAAATGGAAGTTCTGTCACAATAGATTTTAATATCTGGAAGCAGTTTTATCATAGATTTCCACAAATCCATACGAAATTATTGTTAAATACAAATATAGAAGTTTACAATAATATTCTAGATTCTGACTTTACTATTACTGAATTGGATGATGCCATTTTAAAAAATCAAAAAGTAAAATAACTCCAGGAAATGACAATATTCCTACCAATTTCTTAAAAATATTATTGCACAATTCTAGATTAAAAATATTAAATTTATTTAACAGTATGTACAAATCTGATTTCTACCCTGATTCCTGGAACTCAGCCATTCTTATGATGATCTATAAAAAAAGCAATCATTCCTCTCCTAGTAACTATAGACCAATAGCATTGTTATCTACTGTAAGAAAATGTCTTACTTCACTTCTTGCAAACAAATTTAGGCTACAGACTAAAACTATGGAATTAGAAGCTGAATTTCAATACACATTTACTGTAAATAAAGGAACCAAATTTGCAATCTTTACCTTATTAATGATAGTTCAACTATATCTTTTAAAAAAACACAGGAAAATATACACTTCCTTCATTGATATTCAAAAAGCATTTGATTCAATATGCATTCCTCTGTTGGTTCACAATCATAAATCCTGTGGCGGAAGTATCCAATTTGCTTCAGCAATCTCAAAACTATACTCAAACTATAATATCAAGATAAATCAAGTAAAACAGCAAAGCCGTATTTGGGACAAGACTATGTCTCAGAGACTCACTACTAAGTGGAATCACTTTGACACTCAAGGCGGATCTTGTTCTCATTCTCCAATCTTTGGTATCACTGCTTTTGGGCACGATCATTCAAACTTCGCCGGCCATGACCATGAGGTTGTCCACGATGAAATTAACCTACCCAATTTGAAAATTTCTTTCCATTGCATGTCGGCCCAGGTTGAATTTTTGTCAATGTGTAACAAAAATTTCCCATTTTTGAAAAAAATAATCATGGCTATTGTATCGTCCAAAATTACTGTTTTATTTTGCACAAACAATACACAGTTTAACCCGATTATAACGTCATTGGATGTAATGACAACCCTAATATAATGTCAAATTTTTATCGGTCCCATGATTTTACTATACTAGTTAATGTTAAAAAAAAAAACACTTGTAATGACATAAAACCATTTTAACATCATATTTGAAGCACTCCCAAATTTATAAAATTAGATTACAAATTTTATTTAACACAGAAGAAACTATGTATTCAGTCCTAAGGTCAGAGTTCACTTTTTAGAATGACTCTGGGTGGTACTCTCCCCCACCTGACTTTGATGGGATGAGGTGCCTGTTTTGCCTGTTTTTAGAAGAGGGTCACCATTTTGTATTTTATTTTGTCTCAGTTCTCAGTCCCCTGACTACCTACAAGTCTGGATCTTTTAATGTGCAAATGATTTGAGCACCTAATACTCTGTGCCAAATATTAATTCTTGACATGTACTCCTTCATACCTCTATGCTGGTAATATAAAACAGCAGTACAATTTTATAAACAAGACATAGTCTTGTCAACAAGGCAATAATAGCTCTCAAACTTTATCTTTATCCCATGGAATTCTTCAAGGTGATCCTCTCTCTCCATATCTATTCAATTTTTACCTTATAGGTATTGATTGCCTCTTTACTGAATCAACTGATGGAATTGTAATAGGAAATAGTCTTACATTATATTCTTTTTGCTGATGATCTTGTGCTTCTGGCCCCAACAAAGATTTCATTACAAAGGAAAATTAATAAACTCAATAAATTTCTTCAATCATTATATTTAACAATAAATTTGACCAAAACAAAAGTTATAATATTCTGACTGTAAAATATCCGAAAATAACACTAAATTATATCATGAAAATACTCTTTTACAAACTGTAAATGAAATAGACTATTTGGGAGTCAGGTTTGATTGGAATTTATCCTTTAAAGCACATTTTAACAAAATAAAAATCAAAGCAAAGCAAGCCATAGATAATCTTCTATTTGAATGTTCCAAGTTGAAAACAACCAATTTGAAAATTCACATTAAATTATTTACCTCAACAATCGTTCCTATAATATATTAAGCAAGCCCAATATGGAGTTTAGACTATATATATATAAATTGGAATATCTTCACATCTATTATTTATGCAAATTATTCAAACTGAAAAGAACTATTCCAGGCTTTGCTCTGCAGCATGAAGTAAATCGGATTTGGTTCTTCCCTTTCGTATTGAAACGCATAATAAAATTTTATTACAGAATTAAATTTAAAAATGATAATACTATAATATATCTACATCACAAAATATTAACCAAGTAAAAATTGGAAATTTAAACAACTATGGCAGTACAAGCTAAATCAAATTCTAAATACTTTTGGTGTATCAGAGTTATTATTTAAAGATAATATTAATGATTGGTAATCCGGCTATTCACTTCTAATGGACTCTGCAATTTCGCAAGCAATAAACAAAGATCAAAATTCATTATATCAAAGTATTTATCATCTATAGTATATTGATTTATTGCAAATTCTACCCTTACAATCTTATATGTCACAAACAGTTAGTCAAAATGTTAAGTGATTAATAATTCAACTCCATTTAAATAAATATTCTCTTTTTATTAATAATATTTATATTGACTTAACAAGATCCTATTGCACCTTATGTAATTCTATATCATCTAATTCATAATTGTCAAGAACTTTCTAGATTGCGTGACATAAAATATCTCAAATATGTAATTCTAATTCACCACTCGACTTCAAACTAAGTTTAAATAATATTAGTAAAACAAACTTATACAAAATTTATAATTATTTTGTTAAAATTTCTGAAAAACACTATTCGACAAATCAAAACTAATGATAGTTTTTGTATTCGTTGCCTTGTAAATATAGATGGATCATTATGTACGTAATCACAAATCGATGCCTATAGTAGGTATGACTTATTTTTGTACCTTTGTACTCTAAATTTGCTAAATTGTAATTGTTTTTAATTTAATCATTTGTACTATTCCCCCATAACAGAGAAATTGTTCTCTATTTGTTAATACCAATTTGTATTGTATTATATTGTAATATTAATAATAAATAATTGATTGATTTAATTAAATTGTTTTAGATTACATTTTAATATAGATTTATATTTGTGGCACCCTCCCACATATATTCATTTTACTTTTATTTTTTTAGTTGTTCTTACATTTAGCATATGTACATTTTCTATATTACTTTTCATATGTTAATATACTAAATTTATTTAATTTCCATGTGACTGTACTCAGAACCAGTGTTTTAAAAGATTGTCAGCAGCTGAAGTCTTGACTTGAAATGCAGTCTGCAATGACAATTCTATGTGATTAATTTTTTTCTGCCTTTTTAGATACATTCCTGTATGATTAGCCCTAAATTTATCAAATTGTGTAATTTAAGTAGTACTAAAAAAAAAGTCTAAGTTTGCAAACTTGGAAATAGTGCTGTGGGCCTAAATACTTTTTTGTGATTATCTATTTTTTTAGTATTCAATCTAAATGAAAACTGTAGGCAATTATCCACAAATTTCATGTAGACTGGATGCATTTAAAAATCTAAAATTGTAGATTAATAAATTTTTTATTAATCTGCTATTTTATATTTATAAATGTATCCAATCTACAATTTCAGGTGACAGGTTCAATTTTAAATTAATAATATATCTGTAAGAAATACAATATATTAAAGCTAAAATTTCAACATACAAATTAACTTCAAAAGATTATAAATAAATGCTTATTCTATTCATCAATCAACTTAAAAATTGCATTTAACTTTTAAGTTACAAAAACAATTTTTTTTTGTCTTCAAACAATAAAAGATGAAAATAAAACAAACATTATTTTATTCTTAAAGACATCTAAAGATAAAACTATATATATGACAACAATCAAAACTGTAAAATCTTACTTTAAGCCATTTTCTGCCCTTTTTCAGTTTTGAGAAATTATATAATCTTATTTGATCTGCTCGCCTCTCTAAAACAACAAAAAAAAAATATTGAAGAAACATATAATATAAATAATAACTTATAACTCTTTTAAAATAAGTTTATATAAATGTTAATAATTCAAAGAAAGAATTTGTAGAAATTAAAAATGTTTTATTACAATTTATAGAAAAATTCTTATTGAAATTCATAGTCTGAAAGAATAAAACAACAATACTAATATCCACTATTTCTTATATCAATATTAAATTTATTTAACGAAACAGAAACAATATCCATTCCTCTCAAAAATTAACAAAATTTGTAAACATACTTAATGATGAATTATATTCCCAAGATCTTTAAATATGACCATATCATTGTGTACAATCACTGATCCAATGTCAAGTATTCAACTAAAATCTCCATTTGCCCCTGTACACAATACATGTATGCTGACTGGGTACCGCAAGCTTTTGATACAATCTGGCTGTGTTAAATGATTCAAATGAGGTCATGTGTATGCATTTATTTGCTGCAGAGAACCTCCACACGAGCATGTGGTTGAGTTCCCACAAGCATGGCACTGATTTAAAATGGCTAGCACTAGCTACTAACTGCCAATGTAAAAGGAAACACAAATGATAAGAATTTACATGTTAGAATAAATTATTATTAGCATATTTGTTCTCATATAAAAAATATATTGACAGTCAAAACTTTCTCTTAAGCATGTGGTGCATGCTAAGCAAGCCCAGAGAATCTGTCCCTGCTAAAGATTATTATGATCCTGTTTGATATTTTCTTAAGTGTTATCCTAAGAAAATAGCTAGTTCTACATAAATCAGTAGTCTTTTCACTTTATTAATGATCTGGTATGTTTTTCATTGTTAAAATGTGTCCAAATGATTTATATTGAAACTGAACTACTGAGTTCAAAAAAGTCCCAAGTCCATAAGATCTTCATTCCACAAAGTCCATTCTTAAAGTCAAGAAAAAGAAATTATAGTCTATTTTATATTGAAAAGCTGAATTTTAGCACTCTTTCTTTTTTATCAACATGTAGAGCACCTAAAAATTACTATAAATCTATAATAAACTGCAATATTAAAAAAAGATTACTGAAAAGTTAATTCTATCTTTATCATTCATAATAATTTACTCATATTATTTCATAGTTTATTTGATGGGATTCTTTAGATTTAATTTTTTTTATTTAAATATATTTTAATTGAAACAATATATTTTTTAAAAACATTTGATGGCATAATTTTTCTGTCACAAAATAAATGTAATTATAACATGTAACACTAGATATTTATAAATGTATCCATATCTGAATTATATTTTATGAATAAAAATTGTTTTTTAAAATCAATTTTATGTCTGCATTATAGTTCATTTATATTTCATTACTCTATATAGGGCCGATGAAAGGGTTTAAATAATGGGATAAAATTTCCTGGGCCCAGATATCATCTCATAATTTGTTTTTTTATGTGCTATTGTAATATAAAATGATTAACAATAATTCTTCTTCTTTGCTTTATTAAAAAAAGAACATTATATTATATTTATTTTTAAAAAAATGCAAATTTTCAAATAATTTATTTACTTAGAGCCAAGGTAAATTTCTCTCTGGGAAGTCAATGTCTCTCAATGCCCAATTATAGCAGATCCATAGTATCCAATTATAGCAGACACCTTTCCATAGTAAAGGGTGCTAAAAGCATTAAATTTTATTTAAATCTTATAAATAAAAGGGAAATTTTGTTTGTGGCAACATTGTTTCTGGATGAGGCCTTTGTAGACATATTTGTTTGGATTTGTGGTGTCATCAAATTTCCCCCTCAACTTTTACAGGAAATTTATCTTTCTTACTTTGCTATGAATTCATTCCATTGTATTTTATATAAAAATTTGTGAAAGCCCACAAATATCTTTCAAATGACCATAAAAATTCATTTTAGCAAACAAATCCATGATATCATTGCCTATAGACCTGCACCAAAAACACAAAACACTAACTTCATTTATTAATTAGCCTTTAATTCATTTTTTAAAAATAATATATAACACAAATATACTTTTTACACATAATGAGGGCCATTAATAACAAGGTCCAAAATGCATTTTAGGGAATAAATAAGGCATTAATAATTTCTTGTGTGATAACCTTTCATTAAAATAATTTACTATGTATGTGTAAAAAGTATATTTGTATTGCAAACATTTATTAACTTCACATTCAATAATTTCCATTTTGGAAATACTAAATTAAAAAAATGTAATTTAATTATTAAGAATATGTGATCTAAATTATGCAATTGACTGAAACTAGCAAAATGGTGTTATCATCATTTAATCTGTCCCTTCACCCAAATACTGGTATAATCTACTTTATTGTTTCCAATATAAAATCTAACCATGCATATGTTGAAAGTATTTTAAAAATCTTATTAATGTTACTTTCCATCTACTTCCAAAATGTTTCTTTGAAATATTACCTCTTGAAATATATTACTTTAATTGTTTTGTTACAGATTGCTCTACTAACAATCCCTTTTTTCATAATTTGAGAGAAATTTTTAACCTTTGCAAATATTTCTGTGAAATATGATATATATCATATTTCACAGAAATATTTGCAAAGGTTAAAAATGTATATATATTTTTAACCTTTGCAATAAATTATATATATCATATTTTATATATCATATATATCATGATTATATATATATAAAAATAGATTTCATCAAGAGGAAATTAAAAAAAAAAAGACAAAATTTCTTAATTTAAGTTCTTGTAGTTATGTGATGATGCAGAATTGTACAGTAACTTTCTTTTGAATGAATGACTCACAAACTGAACACAATAATGTATATTAAATGCATTAACACTGATGAAAGTATAACATACATGTTCTCAACACAAAAATCACAGATCATTTTTTCCTTTTATGATGATACTTCCTTAAATTTTGAGGTAGGAGAGGTGCAAGGATAGATGTCTATGTCTATTGCTGCCTCTACTCTTACTACATGCTTCCTGCCTAAATCAGATGCTGCTACACTTAAGCACCCTCTTCCAGTGAAAATTTGAAAAACGTAGTTACAAATGTGAACTTACCTAGGTGCAATGAACATAGTTTTAAGAAATAATTTTATTCCTGTCACTTTTGAGGATAATTTTTTTTTGTAAAAAATTCACTAGAGCAGGGAAAATTAAAATAAACAGACCATTTTAATAATGTTACTCAAAATATTCAAAAATGTACAGCTTTTGGTAAATACATTCCAAATGCAAGTACCGTACATAAATCTAGCTAACAAATTCCAGTACAAGTTGCTCAAAGGAAAGTTAATCATCTATATTACATCTCTTTCGATCATTTTTTTAAAATATAATTTTATAAAAATGCATGTTTTATGCATAAAATATCAATCTATCAATCAACATTTATTTGCTATAGCTTTTGCCTTACAAAGGGGTTACAAAATCGTGTGGCATTGATAAATACAAGCATTGTTATACATGATTTCAAAGAAAAGAAAGAAACAACAACACAAACAATAACTAATATATTACATCTTAATTAATAATGTTATGTTAACATGTTTAATATAAAACAGAAAAATTTATAAACTTTAAATAACATACCAGAATTTAAATTATCATCATGTAAACAAAACATATCAAAATCAGTTGTCAATAAACTATCCCTTAAATGTTCAGTAATTTCACAAGATACAAATAAATGGTTTTTAATACTTTCACAAAATCGGTTACATAATGGGCAGTTAGAATAAGCAGAAATATTCATTCTTCGCTTATTTAATACAAGAGTATAGTCATTAAGTCGCAGTTGAATTATCAAAGATTTAATACTATAATTTAAATTTGACAATAAATAATATTGAGGTGTCCATGGAGCCACTAAAGAAGTCTCAAAAAACCTACATTTTTGTTCAATATAATGGATATTTTATGCATAAAATAAAAATATTAAAAATCTCTTTAATGTTTATTGCAAAAGAAAAAAGTACATGCAAGATTTGCTGTCATCAACATAGAACTAAAGAAACTGATAAAAGAAATCAACATAAATATATTATCTTAATGGCCATATATTATTTTTTCAGCTTGATGATCAACGAAAAATGATTAATGCCTTTTGCTCATGCAGGGCAGGACTTCTTGATAGATGCAAGCACACAGCACGTTTTACTTTTCTATTAGTGAAGAAAAAAAAAAATAGAATCAAGAACAAGTTTACCACAAGCTTGGAATGAACTAGCAACTTTTAAAAAAGGAAGGAAGAATATAAATAAGCAATAAGGTGTAGCCAGATTTTTTGAAACAAGAAGATATAGGAAAACAAACCAACACACATCTCCAGCTGATCCAAACATATTATACCCAATAGAAAACTCTTCAGAACTTATTATCTGCTCAATGAAGAATGCATTGCCCAGAAAAGCCAAGGCTATGCTGCTCTCCGGATGCCATTATCAGAGACAATGACAGACATTATTGTTTATTGGAAATAAAATATCCATCAAAATTTAGGAATGCTTTTATAATTAACTAGCTGTTACCCATGACTTCAGCCACACAGATTTTGCAAGCAAACCCCATTTATAGTCAGTATTTCAACAACCATAGTAATTGTTATATAACACCTACTGCTGAGAATGATGAGAATTACTGAGAATCAATTTGATCAATTTTCTGGAACTTTTACAATCATTCTATAATTGAACCAATATGCAATAACAAATTTGAATTTAAAATGGTTCAAACCTTTGGTTAAAAAATTGAAATATATAAAAATATTTATAACAATGTCTGAAATGTTATCAATTTAATACGCTTAAGTACTCAATGAAAACTAAACATAGTTGAAAACAAAAAATTGCATCCAAAATAGTACTGTAAAAGCCATTCTTCCGGTTAAGCCTTAATGCTCTCCCTCTCCCGAGGGGGAATTTCAGAAAATCCCTTCTTAGTGTGCATTTTCATGACGTACCCTAACTGTGTACCAATTCCACCTCTTTAGGTTCAGCGGTTTGCTCTGGGTGATGATGAATGAATCACTCAGCCAGTCAGTCAGTAAGGACAAGTAAATTTATATATTTAGATGAAGATAGTCAAATAAAAGTAAAGCCTGCTTACAGCATTAATCTATGCCTTTCTTCTAACTGGATCTTTTCTCATTTGAAAAAAATAAAGAAAAACTACCCCAATGGAATTACTGTAAAAGGTATTACAACTTACCATGCTAAAGATATTTTGTTTCTTTATTCCAGAGAAAAAATTCACTGAAATTACCATGTTAACTCAGTAGTAATTCTTTTGTTTGTAACTACAAAGTTTACTATTTTACTATAAGACTGTGTACACATTAGGCGCTTTAAAGAACCAAGAGTTCTGCATAGATATACATACTCAAACACGCGTTTTGCGAGCGTCAGCCGAGCGCTTTGAGATATATGTGCTGCCATGTTGTTGTACATTCGATCGCGTACTTTCGGGTAGAGTGGACATACGTTGGCCAAAATGGAGAACGATCATTTCGATACTGATCTATTTATTGATGAAATCTAAGAGACCAACCATCGTCAAATGATTTTATAGATATTTTAAAAGAATTAAAAAACTTGGTTTCATTTTGTCTTAGTTTTGGATACAACGTCAGAAACATTCCACGCGTCAGTCTATCTCGTAATATTGGGTGCACCCAAAATTCTCTTTGCCTCTGCCATCGTCTTTTATAGCGATGATGGAGGAGGTGCACACAAGCAATTACTTTCATGTCCATTTCCAAACTGAGCCAGTGCATATGCTCCACTAAACGGTCGTCAAACGCCGAGCTAACACACGTTTACAGTGTACACACACGATGTGTACGCTGCTAACGCGCATTTAACACAATGCAAAACGCCTAATGTGTACAAGCCCTAAGAGGTCTTCTTCAGTAGTGCAAAACATATATGCAAGGAGCCTATAGACTATACTGTCTATCACTAAGATTCTACCCCAGAAATCTGCTCTAAATTTCATTATACTTCTAGAATTTTCTTTCTCAACTCAAAAAACCCTCTCAAATTCAATGTGTCACCATTCTCCATTTGAATCATGTTTCCATTTTTAAAATTTATGACAACAAAAAATTTATTATTATTTTGTTTCCTCCAGAATCACAAGACAAACATCCACTAGAATGAACCAATTTGGATTTAGAAGTCCATAAATCCATAATGAGTACTACGGACATCTTAAATTTTGAATAAATTTGTTGGATTATTTTTGACTTATTCTTTGACTTTGAATTTTGTCGCATAGATTTACAAGAAAGAATAGTGTCATGAAGCTACCAAACAATCTAGAAGTCTGCATATGTTTAGTAGCTTGTTTGAGAGCAGACTGCATCCTATTTGCCCTTTGGGCATCACATGAAAGTAGAATTATCATGTGATCTCAGATAAAAGCTGGTGTATGAGAATTCCTTATAACTTTTGCAATCTTTGTCCAATCCTGATGAAATTTTGGTTTTATTAATTTATATTATGTTATGATGGAAAGTACAGGCTACTTATTTTGCAGAAATATTAGCTATAGAATAAATGTTTTATTGATTTTGGATTGTGATCACAGTGACATCAGTGACCTCCTTTAGTTCATGCCTGACGAAATTTCCCTTACGTTGCATTTTAAAATATTTTGGCAAATGGCATATTTTAAATGTACTTCATTAAATTTAAACTTTAAAAAAGATAGCTGCATCTTATCACCTGTATAAGAAATTTAAAAAAGATCATTCTATAGTGACCACGTGATGTTCTATGATCCAATTGGAAGTAACAATCTAACAAGCCCCTTATTTAGAAAGTGTTATTGCTCATCTAACATACATATAATTCATCTTTGTTTCATCAATGTGGAATTAAAAATACTCTATTTTGTCAAAAAGAAATGACTAGGGAAAGTGTAAAAGTAAAATTGGTCAATTTTATGTTGCTTTATCCCATTCAAGAAACCAAAATAATATTAAGGTATCTATTACTAACAGAAGCAGCAAGGAAACCCTTTAAAAGACAATAGAGTGTTTACTCAGAATGTAGTGTATAAA